AGCCACCTGCTGTTGGAATCTGGCGCACGAAGCTGACATACAGTTAGCTTGCACCTAGGCGTGTCACCATACGCCTCCCGCCCACGCGCGGCATTCTGCTGGGGATGTATGGATTCCTTGCAGTCTGGTTAACGTGTGCCATGCCCTAGTCTGGTCTCCCGCGCCTACGCAAGCGCAGCTACCGTGTGGCCCGTTACGGGGGCACCCCCGGGGCACATATACAGGCAAAGAAACCGATTGGATTCGCCCTGGAGTGAAGTCCAAAGGTAAACTGCGAACAAATTATGTTCTAAGACTTTAGCAGCCTGTGGAACGGACAATAATAGGGCCAGCTGAACTGCTTTTTGTCGCAGATAACTTTTATTCTTTCCTCAACATACCCTTTTAAAGCCATTCAAAACGACAAATGTATCCTCAGGTCGCCCGTCCGTGACAGGCACCTCTAGGTCTCCCGTGAATATCTGGCCGACTTCGGGGAGGATTGGACCCATGGGGCTGCAGAAAAAAGTAGAGACAGAAGTTGAGGGCCGGTGAGGCAGGTGAAATAAAAAGAAAACGAAAAGTAAGTTGGTGTCAAAGAAGAAGCTGCCTCACGAGCTGTTGGGGTCAGAAGGGATTGGGATTGCGTTTCGCGTGTCAATCGGCGTCATTGTCCATGAATAAAGCTCTTGATCGTCAAGATACATGCTTCCTAAGACGCCCTGCATGGCAGAAGTAAAAAAATAACCGCTACAAGACAAGAAGGAGCAATGAATAGTGGGCAACCACAAAGTAATACAAAGTGTGGTAGAAGGCACAAAAGAAGCTGTCACTCTTGCGTTGTGCGGTTTGTTGGCTGCAAATGCCCTTGGACAAGAAAAGGGTTCTGTGAAAACGAGTTCTCATGCCTTACAGGTGTAAGAAAATCCTGAATGGCTGGAGCAGCAGAGAGTGAGTAAGGAGCCAGTTACGATCAAGAGTAGAGCGACCTCGAACTCAAGAAGACATAGAACTCCAACATGAAGGGTATCCACTAATTGCTTGCGGTTCTTAGGTAATATACCACCAAGCTAACTCATTTTAAATGTAAAAACGTCGGAAGGTTGTGCACAACAGCCGAAAGCCTCGAGTTGTTGTCCACCGGGAGATCGAAAGTCAAAAGAACACAGCAGAAAAATTATAACAGTCGAGTTTGATGACTGAATCATGCAAAGACCCTAAAATCCAGGGTCGGACAAAGATGTGTGTTTTATTTAGGAAGTTTGACAGATTTGCTAAATTTAGTTGACCCAAGTAAGTCAGCCCAGTAGTCGTTCCGGGGGATTCTAAATGATTGCTTAGGAAATTCTGTTTGGGCAGTCAGCTTGCTGTTCCGTATTGGTGGGTTCCATACCAGCGGTAACGTTGGGCGGGTAAAATCGATCCAAGTGTGATTCAATTAACGGCACAGGGCGTGGCTTTTGTAGCTCAACCGGTAAAGAATTGGCTTCGCGTAAGGGCCTTCCCTACTATGCGGGTTCAAATGCCGCCGAATGCCGCGAGTTTTTTCACAATCAGGTCCTGAACTGGGGCGCAAGGCCGCGCAGGAATGCAAACTTTTGGTGGGAGATGAGACCTAGGGTTCTTAGAAATATGAAAAGGAATGCTTGCTTTAATGCAAAAATAGCACTTTGTTGAAAGACAATCCAGGGCGGAGTACACACATATCCGTGTCCTACCAAATCTAAACTCACTGACGGTATAATATACCTGATAATTGTAAGACTGCTCAGGTATCGAGGAAGGGAATTTAATAGAGCTTAGCTGCAGGGAGGGGGAGAGTGACCTATACCCGGTCCCCTCGCCAATGGCCAGTCACCT